GGCTACAGGAAAAAAAAAAAAAAAAAAACATACGTGCGCGCGCGTATTTGTTTTATGTAAACATTCGTGTTATTTCCATACAAATAGTATTCGGTCTGATGGTATGTGTGGCCATTTGTTGTGGCATTTTTATCTCGTCGGCAATCCGTAAATCTTTCCGTAACACTCTCCTCTCCGTTCACTTTCGCCGTCGCCGTCGTCGTCTTCGGTACACACAGAGCCGCTACCTACCCGCGTGTGTCGCTATCGCCGGCACGACATCTTCTTTCTCGTTATTTTTTTTTTTTACTTTTATTTTTTTTTTTTTTTTTGTATTTTTTCCCCGCACAATATTCGCGCGGTAATCAATCTTGTCCACTGTGCGTATGTGACCCGCCGCCGCCACCCATTTTCCACGTCAGCCGACGAATAAAGTTAGCTGCAGCAGTAGCGACCGTTCGCGCGTTATATCCACAATGCCTACTGTAGTGCGCGCAAACGGCCGTATCCCATCAGATTATAAACGCGCTGATGTAAATGTTTATTTTGAAGTTTTCGGACCCGGGATAATTGATACACCACTGCAGCGGGTCGCGCAAACGTTTAATGAACCGCCGGGGACCTAATACAACGAATCGTTAACGTTTTTTTTAACGAATCGTTTAAACGTTCGTTATAAATTCAGTGGCCCTACCACCTTGCCCTCGACCGGAGCTAATCGGTTCGTTAGGGATCAATGGATCGGATTCGGTACGTAAACAGTTTAAACCTTGACCCGGGATTCCGTAATAATGACTGCATTCTGGGTTTATCACAAAATTAAATTATATATTTTTTCCATTCGATGTCTGTGTGCTTTGGAACACTGTGTTGACTTTAAATTATCTGTGACTTTTTTTATCAATGCGCGTTAACATTAGTTTTGGCGATAACATTAGTCATCAACAACTACCCAAAATAGTCACACTCGATTGGTTTTTTTAATATAATATTGTTTAGTCGTACAATAAATCATATAATTTATTACATTTAATGAAAGGAATTATGCAATCCGTCATTTAAATATTCTATTCTCGGCTTTTCTTATTGATCACAACCTGCAACAGCATCATTAGTAAAATTTTTAAGATTTTTTCTTATTCGTTCGTGCTGCTTCATATCCGTTGCAATTGCAGTGAATTTTTATGAGTACCTGTAAACTACAGATTTTTTTAAATATTTGCTCTTAGTTTCGGATTGTAGCGATTAAGCTACTTAGTTGTACAAAAATTTATTTAATTTCTCGGAAAACACTTTTTCGGTCTATTGACTGATAACCTAGGAGATGCCAAATTTGCGCACAAAAATACTTTGTTTTGTAAAATGTTCAAGTGTTCTTCGATATACTACGTATAATTTTTCTGGACCTAGTGGGCACTCCAGCCGATGTTTCGTAGTGCGTTTAGTACCACATTCACACAGTAAATCATCTATTTTATGTCAAAATTTACAAACGTTTTTTCGTAACTCGGCTATATTTGTGCATAATCTATTGATTGCAGTTTTCCATACAACGCGGCACTCAATTTCTTCACATATGGATTTGGCACCGTAGATAGGTGTTTATTACTGTATGTATGCATAGCCGGTTGCTCTAATAGAATTCATGTTCACTCTTTCACGTAGTACGCATAAAAAGCCGTGTCTTGATTTTAGCATTTTTCTGTGGCGCTCGGTATCCATGCACAAAAGATGGGTAACTTTCATCACGTTTTCGTCTTCAGATAATATTTCGAATCGACTGGCAGCATGGCTCCTTGTTACTATAAAAACGAATAACACTCATCCGTCCGTCGCATTCGAGTTGGTCGTTGCGATTACGTATTATAGACGAGCCGTCAAGGTAAAATTGCATTATGCGTTACTTGTAAAAAAAAAAAAAAAAACCCATCAGGTAATGATTTTTATATTAATATGTATACGTTCAATTTTTTTTTCCTAAACGAATTACGTCGAATAGAACGAACGAATGTAGGGAATATTATTATTGTGACCCGCGGGTGCTTTATTATACAATAAGTCGGTTAGCAATTTTTTAGTGTCGATAAATTTCTATCTTTATCGAGATGGTCGTCACTGTTGGATTAATAATGGCTGATAATAATAATGTAAAACGAGTGTTCGAATAAAAAAAACGCGCCTGCTTTTGCTGGTTAGTTAATTGGTCGATGGTTACTGAATACAAAAACCGATAATGGAAAAATCACATGAATTATCATTACCACGATCAAAGTAATGAAAAGAATTACATAAATCGTTACATATATACAAGAAAAAAAAAAAAAAAATGAAATCAGATATTGTATTTATTAGTTACGACGCGTATTATTGAGACGTAAATTATTTTATAAAACCCGGGATAAATGCAATCAAATTTTCTGAACGTGATTGGTTTGTCGCGGCGGCCAACGGGCGTTAAATACACCTGTACCGCAATATTGTCAATCTGTGCGTGACAATACAATACAGGTGCAGTACGATAAATCGCGTTTTACCGATTATCATTTTATTAATATTTTTTCGTGGCAATCGTAAGTACAATTTTAACGAAACGATCGAATTGCATACGATAATAATAATTTATTGAGTTTACGTCGAACCCGCGCGCGTTCAAATCAACGATCAATAATATATATATAGTAACAAACGGACATAAATACGTATGGCTTTTTGTGTGAACATTTTCAATTTGTATTTACGTTTAGACACACAAAAACTATAATATTACGTCATGAAATTACTACATTTTATTAACGATTTTCGTATTTTTTCCTCGCAAACAAGTTTTACCGTTAAACCTATAATATCGAAAACGTTTTTGAGCCGGCGCGTTATATAGCAAGTATTGTAAATAAAAACATACCGGTCAACAATATAATACTATGGGAAATTTCGTCGATTTAATTACGCGGGAATAGAAAACGTACAGTCGATTAAAATGTACGGTTTTCGCGTGTAAAATGTAAAACTGTTCGGTTGTACACGGATTCTTTTGGAAATTTCGCACCCCGTTTTAATGGCGTACTTAGCGCTTCCAGATAAATGTGTTTATGGGTACAAAGCAATATTTAATTGCGATAAACGCGATAAATCGCATGAGTGTTATTCGCGCGGCATGTATTTTACGGCGTCGTATTGAAAGTGACAAGTTCTGTGTAAGATACCCGTAACAGACCTGTAGATTTGTACGCACATAAGCCGAAAAAAACTTACTTAAAACGACTCCTCGATAAAAAAAAACAAACAGCACACAAATGATCAATCTTAATATTCGATTGAATTAACGCGATTTATTAATTCTTTTTTTTCGAGAAATAAAACCGTTTTTACCGTCTGCCGAACAATAATAAATATTCAACCATTTCTCACGAAATTCCGTACTCGTCTATAATAATATCGTCTCATGTATTGACGGCGACATTACTGTTTGGTGCCTACGTCGGGCTTAAGTGAATCCCGGCGTTCGCTTTATCGTATCTCGGCGCGTACATTAGTCCTAATAAAAATTATCGAAAGACGAAAAAATACAAGTATATTATAATAATAATATGGGTCGTATATTATTTTGAATAAATATTTACATGGACATCGCACCCTCTCTTACCATACTATCGTATGTACCTTACTCGGAATCCACGAGCAAACAGTTTGTATACACTTGCGGGTACATGCCACGCGATTGCGACGCGAGATCGACTTTAAAAAAAAAAAAATAAAATAAAATAAAAAAAAAATACCTATCCCCAATATTTGAAATGATCATTGTATTGTAGGCGGGTTACACTCTCCGGGGGAAAAACGCGGTAGCCAGAAATATCGGAATGACGTCGCACGCACATAACGCATACGATAATATTTGGTGAGTATTTATAGGTGTAGGTAGCAAAATCTCGTTCCTTGGATCGTCTTCGCTCGTGTTTGACTCGAGAGAAATGTGTATTGACGAGCAAACACATAGTGTTGTACACCATTACAATGCGAAGCCGGTTATTATTACACGTACTTACGGTTTAAAGAATGTCAGTATATCAGTATGTTATAACGTTATCGTTATACGACTGCCGTGTCGTAGGTATATACCGCGTTTTCGATAAATTGATATTTAAAACGCCGATACACATTATAATTATCAATTATTGTACCGTCCCATTCGCCATCCGTGACAGGTAATCGAACAGATACAGGACGTATAAATAAAAATTTCCACCGCAATTTTCAGGGGAGGGATAAACTGAAACCGTGTTCAGTACTAATGTGTATGGTTCGGAGAAAATGGCCCCGCAGGAAACCGGAAGTATTGAACATATACGCGTATTTGATAGGAAAATTCTCAAAAGAATAAATGGCCACACTGCGTTGACACCGGTTCGGGAGAATGGAGGAAACGACTTAACGATGAGCGATACGAACTTTCCGAACGACGGGAGATCCCAAAAGGGAATAGGGTTGATGCGGACAGGACGTGCGTGACGGAAGCAGGGGTTGTAATTAAGATAAACCGTCGAAGGGAAACCTGACGGTAAGTGACCGTTGGAAAGGTCACGAATACGCTGCGAGTCCGTGTTAAATATGGTACGGAATGTGTGGAGCCGGATATCCAGCGAACGATAGCCGCAGAGGATATGGAGGGATGGAAAGCGAATTTGTATTGCGGTATGGTCTCAACCACCGGAAAACCAAAGAATAAGATATACAAGAACACGTGACTTGTAAAAAACGTTAATAAATTATAGATAGGTCCGTTGCGGGTAGTTGATAAGTACGTGCGCTACGCGTTAGGGTTCGAGCAATTTTTTTGCGAGTTTTAATATTTTTCAGGAGACCAACCTCCCCTCTCAATGTTTGCCCGTGTTGTCGTACAGATAATTGTCTATTAAAAGCGTATATAATTTTTTTTACGCGAAACAAAAAACCAAAAAAAAAAAAGAATGTATACGTATAAAATCATAACTATCGTGCGTTTTTATTGTGTGTGTCAGCAGATGCACGACCTCAAGCATCATCTGCATCTGCCGTTCCAGGGCGCCAATTTCGGATTCCGGTTTATGGAGGGCTATTCGGGGCTGCCCGCGCACCTCTTGCACCATCTGCAGCCCCAGTTCTTGCACCCGGCCCTAGACCCGCGGATATCGTTTTCGCCGGCGGGCGTGTTCCAGCCGCTCGGTTCGCCGAACCCGCACCACCCACAGCACCAGCATCACGCGGCCGCCGCCGTGGCCGCGGCCGGTCTCAAAGGTTTCACGTCCGCGTTCGCGCCGCCGTCAAAATGCTACAAAATGGACGACAAATCGGCCGCGCACGCCGAAGCCGTCTCGGCGCAACAACAGCATCAACAGCAACAGCACCAAATCCAGCAGCAGCAACAGCAACAACAGCAGCAGCAGCAGCAGCAGCAACACCAACAACAACAACAGCACAATCAGCACCACCAACAGTCTTCGTTTCCGTATCCTCCGCGGAGGAGTCCGTGTTCGCCGGCCAGCATGTCGATGTCGCCTCCGTCGTCCGCGGCCGCCGCAGCGGCAGCAGTGGCCGCCAACATGCACCAGCACGCCAAAGACGAGTGTTCGGACCGAGACACGCCGAGTTCCGGAGCCGTGTCCGAAGACGGCAGACTGATCAGAAGTAAGTGTCCTTTTTTTTTTTTATTTTATTTATTTATACCCGTCAAGGGCAGCGTTAAATACAGGGTGGTTAATCCGTCGCAAAACCCCGCAAATTAAAAAATAAATCGTATCTCGTCCGCGACGGGTTGACGGGAGTGTGAAAAATGTCGACGCCAACATGCATTTCAATTGAAACGTCATCCGTTTGTGGAATTTGCAATGTCTGTGTTATATCGGTTACCGTTTGTAATCGAAATTCGACAGCGGTCTCACGCGGTCGAACATAATGCGGGGGACCGAAATTGGGGCACTGTAACATTTCGGAATCGATCGCACGACTGCTGTGTGCGGTTTAAATTTGGTCGAAAACCGAAAATTCCGAAAGAAAAAAAAAAAAAAACGTTAAACTTTCCGAAGTAATAACGGCGTAGTGTCTGACGGAAAATCAATCACCCTGTATAATATTTCAGCCGGTCGTTATGCTGCGTTACATAATGTGACTCAAAACACGCAGCGCGTCATAATAGTACATTATTATTATGTTGTTCGGATCGTTTTACGCGTATTATTGCAGGTTAACATTTTTTTTAATTTTTTTTTTTTCAATACTACTTAAAAGAAAAAAAAAATTTCGTCGTACCGGTGCGGCGGGTTTTAACGACGTGACGAATGGACTCGGCACTCTATTATACGGGTTTCAGTATAGGTGGTCGGCGGGGATGGGGTTTTGCGGAATACTATCCGACTAATTCTATCTATGGTCGTCCGAATACTGCAAACGCAGTTTAACTACCAAATATTGTCAAAAATTACATATTCATCGTGCCGTGCATTGCAGTTAATTTGGACGCTACGCGCCGTATTTTATTGCATACCTACCGACGTGCACGCTGGAATGCTGTACAATTTTGAACGTCTGCGAAAATCGATTTTAAAATTTTCCATCTAAAAGTGTATTTAGGTTCCGAACAATTAGATTTTGTTTTTTTTTTTTTTTTTAGTCACTGTTGCATTTATGCCCGGTATGTGGGCGGGACATTCGTATCGAAATCGATGCGCCGCGCGAAATGCCAACTCGCAGTATTACGTTACGGCGATAACATCGCTGCCGTCTTCTTTCCGTCTTAAATCGTTTAACTCCGGTACTCCGCGTTCTCCTTCCGTAATTTAATTCGTTTGGCGGTGGAGACCTGCAGCCCTTTCGGCCCCTCCCCCAAACCCCTCCCATTCCACGGCTAGCATCCCGGTGTCGGATAAAACGGAAAATACGGTCCCCGCCGTCGAAACGTGTAGTTTGCGGTTCGCGATCTCGAGTTTTGTTCGCGGCAGTGATCGTTGCACGCATTTCGGATTCGCGTGACCGGCCACCGTCACGCGGGTATTTCGTCCTCCGTCGTGTTCCCCGGCGCGCGATACGAAAACGTTCGTGTCGCGCCCCGACGCCGCCCGTACCACGGGGCGAACGTTAAAGCGCTTAATGCGCGGACGGCGACGCGCCCCCCCCATTCGTCGGTCTCCGTAACGCCGCCGCGACCGGCGTTAACGCGCGTAAACCGCGGAAACCGGGGAAACCCAATTCGTTCGTCGCTTCGAGCGCGGGGGGCGCGCGACGCGCGCGTACCCGGCGTCCGCGTAATCGCGTTGCGCGAATCGCGGTCGTTTTACGTCGAAATCGCGGTTCGAACGTTTCGACTGCGGCCGCGTCCAAAGTGGTCCCGAATTCGCGTTTCGAGGGCGGCGCGCCGGGCCGTATATTCCAAAATCTCGCGGACCCGAGAATCCGCGTGGTCCCGTTATTTTGAATGTCGCGATGCTTTCTCGGTTTCGACCGATCCGGAGGAGCCGGTTTCATTGGGGTTTTCCGAGTTCGGCCGCTCTCAGCCCGACGAGTGGCCGACGCCGACGTCCCGACGTCCGGTTCGACGTTGGTTGAAACCGAGCGCGCATCACCTTTGCCGATAACCGCGTCCCGTCAATAACGCCGGATCCGTTTACGGCCAGATTTCGGTTGGACGTGACGGCCCGGGCGACGTCTTGACTGTTCGCCGTCACTCGCCGCCCGTCCCGACGACGCGGCCCATTCAAACCGACCGCACGCGTTTCGCGCCTAGGTGTACGGCATGCCCGTCAACAGCCGCGGCCGGCTCGAGCACTGCGGTGTCAACCGAAACTCCGGAGTTTACGTTTCGGCAATGTGACGCGATTTCGCTATTGCGCCCGTTGCAATAATATAATGTTACTGTATTAACACGGGCCGAGGGGCCGGTAAACGGATATTATTTCTGATCGCTCGGAAACGAGGTTTTTTCCCAACCCCCTCCCCCCCACCGGCCGCCCGGCACCCGGTCGCGGTGCGACAGGCGCGCGGCATTACGTGCCTCATCAACGGTCACACGTGTCGCGCGGAAACTTTGCCGTTATCGGTCCGCGTCAACTTTCGAACGCAAACTATTACGCGGGTACCGTTTACCCCTTTCCGTCGGCACGAAACTTCCGGACGGCCGACCGTCCCGCCGCCCCTCCCGCCCACACGCGCACAAGCGGCTAATATTCCAGGTCGTTACGGAGGAACAAAAACCGCGCGGTCGTCGGTCCGCGGCGCGGCGTCCGGCTCGGTACGGCCGGGCGGTTCACGCGTGCGGTGTCGCATAATGCGCGATCCGTAATGACTGTTTTGATGGCCGCGTACGAAACTTGTGACATAATATACAGCGCCGCCGGACCTTTGTTTTGGTCTTGCACGCCCGCCGCGGCCTTTTTGTGCGGCCGCGCAGGGGCCGACGGGAACTTGGACGGCGGTTCAGCTGTTGCGTCGCGCGCCGAAGTTCGTCCCGCGGCCGAGGACGACAGCGTTCGACAGCGGTGACGCCGCCGCGCCCGAGCGTCCTGCGCGCGCTGTTACGCGACCTTTGAATAATAGCCCCTCCGATTGGTCGGTTCTGATTTACCGCCGCCGTGCGAATCAATACGCGATAACGGAGAGCGCATCACGAGTCCCGCTACATTTCAACACTTGGTCGTTGGGGCTCGGGACTTGAATGCACTTTGAGTTTGAAAAAAAATCGATCAAAAACGTCAATAAAGCCTTGAAAATGCACTTAAAAAAAAAAAACGAAAAAATGGTAATGTGTTTTCGAAAATCCTTCCTCTAACGGTTCCAACTTTAAAACACAATCTTTGAACCCTACAAAAATGAATGACAAAAGTTTTTAAATAAAATCGTAAATATTATAAAAAAAATATTTTATGTTAATCGTTTTTGTAGTGTTAGACAATTGCATTTAATGCTCAAACCGTTAAAGGGTCGGCGGGATGGTGGGGTGGATGTTGTAAATCTCTCTGAGACCTGCTCTGTCGTTTTAGAATTTTTTTTTCATTATCTTCAAGCTGTTTTTAAGAAAACAATAAATAAATAAATATCATTTGAAAATCGATACATTCTTTTCTACTCTTCGAATCTTAAAATTGTAAAATTTGAATCGACCGATCAGATAAACGATAAGCGCGGTGGCGATAAACTGTCCCGTTTTACCGACGTCAGTTCTCGCGGATTTGATCGATTATTAAAAAAAAACTACAAGGACGATAATTTCAAAAAAAAAAAGTTGAAAACATACACTATGTAAATAAAAATCGCTTGTCAACATAGTACGCGTACGTTCAGAATCTATAAACGGCGTGCGTTTCGGCGGGTAAAATAATCGCAATTTCTCCTTCTCTCCCGGCGACTGCGAGACATTTTATACGCAGTATATGAACGGTACGCGGGGGAATTGATAATATTCGTCGGGGTTCGTACCTTATAAAAATCGGAATCGCTCCCCTCGTTAACTTGTCATTATCGAAGCACAGCCGCCTTGTACAGTATACTATATAATGTCTCTTTTGATGTCGGCAAATTCGACGAAGCATCTTGAATGACTTTGATGTCGTTAAAATCAGTCGTCGTCGGTGTACTCGATGACGTAAAAGTATACGAATTAATTGTTCGGGAACACTGTAAAGTCATTCGTTCCAAAATTATCCAATTAAATGCACAACACAATACGTAAATCGTAAGCGCAGATCGCCGAGCATTTTTTTTTTATTTTTTATCGGGATTCAAAAGTCTCCCGTTACTACAAAACACAGGCTAGAGTGACCGTTTATGGAACGATAAACCGTTGCAAAGTAGCATGTTATAAAAAAAAAAAAGAAAAAAAAAGAGATTTGTCGGTTTTTTTTTTTAAATAGTTTTCCACGGTTTTCGGGACGTTGAACCATGAAAAAAAAAAAATTACTTTTTATTGTACCCTAACGTTAATCTCGATTGTCTCAATCTAAAGAGTAGCTGGATGACGGTATGAAACTTTTCGAGTGTTATCCGCGAAATAGTATTGTCGCCGTGAAAAAAACTACCTGTAGGACCCTATCGTCAACAACGGAAAGTAATTTTATTTTGAGGGGCCCGGTACCAGCGCGTTTTTCGGCTTAAAAATATGATGCGTTACGGCGAAAATTACGGCGTGCCACGTACAGTGTTTTTTTTTTTTTTTTTTTTTTTTATAAAAAAAAAAAAAAATATCAATTCGTTTTAATTTTACATTTCTTTTAAACGTTAAATCGAATGGAATTCCGGAGTCCGGCGCGTTCCGCGGAACGTAATTATTATAAATTTTATAAATTGAAAAATAATGAAAAAAAAAAAAAAAAACCGCAAAATAAAATTCGGGCCCCGAAAACGTGCGCGTCCGAATCGAATCGCGTCGTTTCCGCGGGACTACGGCACTCGGATCGTCGGTACGGTTGCGGGACGTGCGCGCGTGTACGCGCACCTCCTGTACCCGCGTAATCTAATAAAGCCGCTGGTACGGGTGTAATAAAATCGCGATTATCATATTTTCAACAAACACCGTGGGGATTAACTATTCGTGTTTGTCGACTAAATCCACTCGTCGAACACGGCGCGCGGTCCACTCGACTGCGGATAATAAAACGCATCGTTTGTGACGCGTGACGCGCGGTCGTCAAATTTCGTACATTTTTTTTTTTCCTTCCTCCCGATAACGGTACGCGTTATTGTACAATAAAGGTACGGTTTCCCTTGCGCGATCGCGGNACGATTTATTCTAAAAAATTCTCGAAATTTGATTTCATTATTTTTCAAATGACCGTTGATTAGTATTTCATAATAACCTTCCGTACTTCTCTTTGTAAATAATTGATCATGGCCTTTTCTTTTTTCTTCTGACAAATATAAGAGCAAAACGTCATCGTCGTCTTCTGCTTCAAAAAGAATTTTCAATACATTTACGTCGTCAGATGTATCCATTATAATTTAAAAATTCACAGTCTGTTCGTTTTTACCGTTCACTAGAGTACTTCACACATCAAAATATTAAGTACGGCTGAATGATGAGATATAAATTACTCTCGATCGCGACGTAAAATCGTTCAGAATAAACCAAGACGATGCGAACGCGATCTTAGTTCGTCGATCGCGTTCGCTGACGGCGTTCGCGACCGCGCAAGGGAAACCGTACCTTAACGCGGCGCGCCGATCTTTTCGACGCCGCGGAGACCGCTTGGCGGAGACTTCCCGATCAAAATCGCGTAGCGCGGTCACTCGCGGTGTTGCGCAGGCACACGAATCCCGAGCGAATCGTTTTGGAATCAAAATAATCATCTGGAACTTTCGCCGAAATCGGCGATTCGCCGGGCGGGCCGCGCGTCGTCAAACGTACCGGAGTTTTGTGCGGGCCGAAAGGCCGGTTCCAAAACGGTTCGCGCACAGGATTCGTGTGCGTACGCAATATCGCGCGCATCGCTCCGTTCGGTCGTTTCGGAAATAACAATTGTCACCGTGACAATGTCGGACGGGTATAGCGAAAAGACTCGCGGAACGTTCGCGCGCTGATCGATTCGGGCCTCACGTTGAAAAATCCCGAAACGCCATTAGTTAACGCGTTGTGCCGTGCCGCGCGTAGGACTGCGGAATCCGTGTACGAGGAAATTGATGTCCAAACGCGTGGGCATCGTCACAGGTACGGCGATTGTTATTAACAAAAGTTGATTTGTGACGCGCACGACGGTATGCGGTAGGTGCACGCGTGCACCGTTTTCACACCGTGTGTGCCGCGCGGCCGGAAAACGGAACGGGCCGGCGGTTTGGACGGAAAAGGAAAACAGAAAATAAAAAAAAAATCGTATACAGGGCGTATCCACGGGCTTCCACAACGTCCTACGTATAGGATCGTGTGTCGGATCCCGCGCGCGGACACGTCCACCTGTATGTGTATTGTTGTGAAATTAGAGTAATTACTTTTACACCGCGAAAGGGGTCGGCCCGGCCGTTTTATAATGTACAGCCGTCATGTACGGGATCTCGAACTCTGCGTTTTTTTTTTTTTTTTTTTTTTTTTTGTACAGTTATAGTACGGTTACGAAAATAAAACGAATGCGATTGGATTGATTTTTCATTTTCTATGTACGTCGCCAGTTTCAAAACCTTCAACCTTCAGGCTTTGACTATTGATTGTTGACTTTGACCGACAGGTTGAATCGCAAATTAGCTGTTCACACCATTATAGCGAACTTAACACGGGTGGGAGAAATAATTTTGAAAAAAAAAAAAACGTTAAATTCATTAATGTCGTTATCAAATTTGAAAATGCGCAGAACAGCCGAAGAACATCTGTTTCGGGGTACGAACATCGGGGTACGTTTTCCACTGAACGCGTTGGATTAGAACAAAAAAAAAAATCAGCTATCCCGAGAAACCACGCGTCGGGTTAATAATTCAAAATTTATAACGACCGATTGAGGTTGACGTTGTCAACTGACGAAAGCGACTTTCCGGCTTAATTCTGATTTTCCCGGGCGGGGTAGCGCTCGATTTCGGCCCGGTGCATGGGTGGCGACTGGCGAACAAAACGAAAGGCCGTCACGACCGTTAAAAATGTAGTCTGCGGATGTAGTCTGGCGTCAGAGTTGGGTCGTGTTTAGGCAACGGGAGAGCGCGCAATAGTCGCGTATACGTATAATATCGGCGCTCGAAATTATTGTTTTTTTTTTTTTTTGTTTTTTTTTGTTCACCGAAAAAACCCGCGACATTTCGACAGACCGCACGGTACTCCGATTTTACGTTTTTCATGACGGACACTGCCGCGCGAAATATCGTTTTTTTTTTTTTCGCATAAGAACGTTCGCGCGAAAACATTGTGAAATCATATCGCCGGACTCTCGCGCCGTCCGTCCTCTCCGTTGTTCCCCCCTTTTATTTTCGGAGTTTCGCGCGTTCATCTCGCTCGGCGTTTTCGCACTATTATTGTTCCGTATATTTTGTTTGTTTTGTTTTTTTTTTTTAACAAGCCGCGGATGACGGAGCAGAGGTCTCCTCCGCGTCGCGGAATGCCGTAGAATGGTAAACGCCGCCGCCGATCGCGCGGTCGCGCACGTCCTCGCGCCCGACCGTACACGCCGCGGCGGATGCCTTCGTTTTTACCGTCGCGCGTACCTCTCCCGGCCGCGTTTATTGAATCGCACGGTCGCTCGCGTGTGTGCGCCCGCGGTACGGCGACGCATCGCAGTCCATCCCGACGGACGGGATTTTTTTTTTGTGTTTTTTCGTTTGTGTTTGTGTTTTTTTTCTTCTCGTGTCGTCTCGATATGATTATATTGTTTGTCCGCGATCGCGTCGCCGCCGGCCGTGATTTACATACTCACCGCGCGCGCCCGTCCGTCAGGAATCGCGACGACGGCGGGGGCAGGGGAACTCCACGCGAACTCGGAAATTCCACCGCGGCTCGAACGAATTCGATCCTCGGCGCGGGTTGTGGGGCAACGGGGTCGCGAATGCGTCGGCCGAATTACCCGACCTTTATAATG